AGCAGAATCCTGGCTGGACAATAACTCTTTGATGGTCAATGATTTGCTGATGGATGATCTTTCAAGCTTTGAAAGAGCTGACTGCACAGGAAGCTAATCGGAGATTGTCAACTTGTCGAGCTGATTTTCATGGATTATGTCGTAAATGTTGGAATGGAAATGTCTTCGCGGGGTTGGGGTACTCTATAGATGTACAGATTGTCTTAAAGAATGGACAAAAATTGATTGGGCAATGCTCATATTTGTGTATGAGCTGAAAATACTCGTAGTATTAGGCTGGATAATTCCTAAAGATAAAGGTATTAATGGCTAAATGGAGAAACAGAGAGCAGATTCTGGTTTAAACTAAATTAATACGAAATGGATAAAGGCACCTTCTGCTCCAACAATGAGTATATCACTTGTCTCCCTAACTTTTCCAGTTCTGCTCCACAACAATCCCTCTGGTATCGATGTGATCATCGGTTCGGTGGTCTTGATGGAGTGCCAGTCGCGGCAGAAGTCGAGTTCAGCAAATTACTCCAAATAGTTGCTCATCTCGGGGCGGCGTGTATTGCCATCCAGGATGATTGACTGCGTCCAGGGAAGCCGCCTCCGCTAGTGGATGGATGGATGGATGGATGGAAGGATGGATGGGTGGTTTGAAGGGTTAAGCGGGTCACAGCTGGCGCTGCTGCGCTGGCTGACAGTTGCAATTAATGCGGCAATTGCAGTTGGGTTTTTGTGCTGCACTTGCCAAAGATGATGCAACATGAGGAGGAGAAGGAGGAGGAGTCACAGCTCTACATTCCCCATACCCATGCCCATGCCCATGCCCATGCCCATGCCCATGCCCATGACAATGTCGTTGTCGTTGTCGTTGTTGATGACATCCTATGCCTCTTCCTCTTCACAGAATCCCTCCCAGAATTCCATCATGCCTGCCCCGCCTGACTTCCTGCAGCGCTGCCTGCCTGCTGCTGTCTCCTGCTAATTGGCATGCATCAATGCATCGATGACGTTTATTAGCAGTACTCAGACACACTCGAGGGGCTCCAGGCTGCCACAGCGGAGGTGGGTGTGGCATATAGCAGGATTGAGGATTACACTCTCTGATGACGTTATTGTGTGCGCAGTGCGGCAAATTAACTTAATTTGATTTAATGGGCATCGCGAGTCAGATAGGGTCCGGGATCCAGGCCCAGGGAGTGACAGCAGGAGGCAGCATATGATGTGCTGGGGTGGGGGACGAAAGCCTCTCTCATATTGTAATAATGGCGATGATTGGATGCAGCTGCTGCATGCTGCATGATGCATACTCCATGCTGCATGATGCTCGGCTGATCAGCCCAGAGCGGGCCTACTAAGTGCCTGATAATCCGGCCACAACCATCGAGCTCTGTTCCATCACAAGCCTAACTGGCTCAGAGGCACTACTGGCCCAAACACTAAGAAAAGGTTTGCTAACGTAAGCGATTCTATCCTGATATAAGCTAACAATCCTGTCGGATCATAAAAGGAATATTTAAACGTAATAATCCCATAGAATATATGTAGAATATAGAATATTCTATTATTTGATCCATCGAAAGCCATCATCAATGATCGCTTAGCCTCTTCGATCTTATCTTCTGTCATTATATATAAAACTCGATCCTTTGACTTATCTCTCCTTCTATACTTACTATGAGCCTTTAGATTATATTTTACGGTCTCTCATTCGTTTCTTTCATATATCCTATTCATAATTCTGTAAGTTTCTAATCTGTAATGGTTCTATCTTCTCTCCCATCCAATCTGACCCAAATCTGATACAGCAGAGCGAAATCCTTGTAAATGTTCTCCTCCAATCGTAGGGTAAGTATTACTACTTTGCTCACTCCAATCCGCCTTTCGCCCCTTGAAAAATCTCATCAATTGACAAAACTGCGAGTCCACACACGATCCCTCTGGCAGGGGGCCGCGAGGTCTTCATTAGCCCGCGAGTTGTAAACATCCATTCAGGGCTCTCCAGGTATCTGTTCCTCTAGCTTGCCTTTCATACACATGTACAAACACACGAGTATGCGAGTGAGTATTCGAGAGTGCGAGTACGTATGCAATCCTCTAAGAATAAGTATTCCTCACGAAATGTGTTTGGGGAGCACTGATTTAGCTCCTGGCTCCCTGCGTCGTAGTCTTAGACGTTGTCGTTGTCGCTGTCGCTGTCACCGTCGGTTCTTGTTTCGTTGATACTACTGTTCCACTTATTGCCGTTGTTGTCGTCGTCATCAGGTCGAGTGGCAGCATTTAATGAGGTGCAAATGAGCTTGTCCTGGCATCAACAGCACCAAGACACTCAGAGGGGCGATTGCGGGGGAGGGCTAGAAGAAGAGTCGCATCACTTTAAAAAGGAAAAATTAGCTGCCAGGAGTAGGCCAAGTGCCAGAGAAGGACCCAAGAAGGAGCAGGAGCTGCTGGCTTTGGGATGGAGGGGGCGAAGCAAGCAAAGCATCAGGATGAGTGGCAAATGTTGTTGCTAATTTCTTCAGTTTTTTTTTTTTTTTTTTTTTTTTTCTTTTTTGCATTTTTTATACATATTCTTTTTATTTCTCTCTAACTGTCGTCTGTTTGTGTGTTTTGAGAATTTTACATATTTTCTATGAAAATTACCATAGACACATGGCTGTTTGCCCCCCATCCCCATCTAGCCGCCCTCCTGCTCTGCTCAAATGCTAGGCACGTAGTCGTGGGTGCACCCACTTAACATGATAAGCGACAAGACACCTAACATGTTCAACACGACACCTTCACGACGACAGCAACGACAGCAGTCTCCCGACTCGTATGCTACTGATGGTAGGATGGTAGGATGGTACGATGGTAGGATGGTGCGGATGCTTATATGGCACTGGAGCAGAGCCTGCAAGAGATGGTGGTGCTGAGCACTTGGCTTGCTAACGGCCAGGACACCTTCAGTGGGATTCCACTCAATGGAAGGGGTATGAAATTGCTTTAGAAAGTGCTGTTTCGGAATCTTTTTATCCTCTACTAAAGTTTTCTCTCTAAGAATATTAACCAAGTTTTCAAAACAATCCCAATCTAGTAGGTTCGAATGTAAGTTGATAAATATACTACGGTTATACTATGGAATATCATAATTATCAATAAATGGCCATGCGGTTTTGTAAAGTTATTTTTTCTGTATTTTTAATGTCTCCCCTTACACATTTCCATGAACCAAGCAAATTGCTTTTTCCCTTTTAGATGTTCTTAAAAAAAAAGAGGATATATTGAAAGAATAGTTTCCCACAGAAGCTTTCAGAAGACTATAAAAGTTGTACAGATTCGAAATATTGTTGCTTTAAGATCAAGTTTATTTTTAGTTCCAAAAGCTGTGGAAAAACTAAGTTGCTGACTTAATTTGGGTTTATTATGTATGTATTTATTTTCCATATACGATACTAGCTTCAGCTTCGATTCAGTTCCAGAAAGCAACACGACTTCAGGGCTGTGTTGTATCGGGTGCTTGTGACATGCTAAGGTAACTTCTAACCGCGCGAAGACTGTCGCGTCCTTCTCGCTGACGCCATGCCTGTTCTTTGGATCTCTGCGGCGGGTTCCTGCTGTTGACTTGCGGCTATGCGTGTCTCCTTCTCGCCCACCCGCCGCGTTTGTTTGTCCCCATCCCCATCCCCATCCCCGTCCCCGTCCCGTCTCTGTGCCTGGCTTTTGTCGGCTTGTGCGGCCGGTCTGACCCCAAGCCTACCCGGGCACTCCACCCAATCCATCCCACCTCTCATATTAAGCAAGTGACGATGTACGTGTATAGCATAAGTTGTCGCAACACAACGCCGCCTGCCCCTTTCAGTCCTGCCTCATATACAAGTACCCGCAGCCCCAAATATTTATTTGCAAAAACATTTGTAAACTGTTTTTTCCTTTGACTAATTAGTGAGCTTCATCATTTTTCCTTTTTGCCCTGCCTGTGCATATTCAATAAAACGTTTGGGCTCTTTGTGGGCACTTGTGCCATAAGCGGATTAAGTCCTCAATGGCAAAATGAATTATAAATGTTTTGCAAAATGGCTATACATACTTCAGTGCGTATGTATGCGTTTAAGAATAGTAGTTTGGTCAAAGGTGAATGCCAATTGGCATGACACAATATTAGTGATTGTAAGAATTATGTTTTTGAGGGACTTACATTTTGCAACGCAGAGAAGGAACCACAAAATATACGCGACAGTACGAGTACATACAATACTATAGGTATTCTTGAATACATGAATATATATAGTTTTTTGCTAAACTTTATCCCTGGCATATGGAAATCTGCCATACCTCCGATGTTTGTATCTGGAAAAGGGTATACAAAAATGGCCCTCCATGTGCTTTTGTTTTGTCTAAATACAAATGTATGTAGATGATGTAAGGTTTTCATTAAATCATACCAATACTGCTACACCAATAGCTTTAATCCGCTTTACTGGCATTGAGGGAAGGATATGAAACGCGCCAAGAATGATTCTGTTCTAACGTTACTCATTCGTGCCACATTGCAGCTTAAGGAACGAGTGGGAAAGTTCGATTTGAGTAAATAAATACATCAGTCAGAATTATCGTATCTAATAGTTAACAGACATAAAATCAGATAGATTATATAGATTATAGATAAATTATAGCTTTCAAGCGCTCGCTCTCTTTCACACACTCTCTCTTGGATCAGTGCGCCGCCTGGCGGAGTGAGCGAGATGCGAAAAACGTCTTTCCATGGCACAAAGAGTAGTGGAGAGAGGGTCATTGGGTGGAAAGAGGATAAGCGAAGTGCAGCGGTCGTGCTACCTCTCTCTATGTTTCTGCCACAGTCGATGCCTCATCTCAAATTAATATTTTCCTGATACAGTAAATACGATATTTTTACATTTTGAGACATTTTTAAAATTTGTTCCTTTGAAATTTGTACTTCTCTTAGTTGCCTAAAGTCTAAAGTCATTTTAAAGCAGACGATTACAGAATACAGACACTCCCAAATTGTTATTTTTGAAATATTTACAGTATTTTACAAGACAAGATGGATAACGGAGGCTACGATGACGAGACCGACGAGACGCTGGCGGAGCGCTTCCTGGGATTACAGGAAATGTTTCCGATGCCGGTTCGCCAAGCGGTGGGCACAGCCGCTAATGGAATCTTCAATAACGCCAAGAAATTCGCATCCAACCCCTCGTTGATGTTCGCCGCAGTTTCGTTCATTCTGTGGGCACGCCTCATCCAGAAGATCAACCGCCTAAACTAGCTGAGGAAGGCGCACTAGAGGGATTTCCCGTCTGTTCACATGGCCACACCTTGGACCATTTTCTTCAATATCAATACATTAACCATATAACCAATAAAAAAGCATAATGCCAATTGCATAAGCACTTGCAGTTCTATCTGATAGAATCGAAAGATGTGAGCTTTAGTGAGATAGAGTGATACAAGTATACCCATCAAAGTATACGAGCAATGGGTATGTATCCAAGATCCTGGATATCAAAATTTAGTTGCTCTAGCTCTTGTAGTCTCTGAGATCTCGGTGAGCTCTGGACATGGCTATATCGGCTCGGCTATTGAAGCTAATCAAAAATCTAATATGCCTCTATACCATTTTTGAGTACCGGGTATAATAAGAGGGAGGACAGAGAGAATCAAAGAAAGAGTGTACAAATAAGAGATAAAGGATCGAGTGGATCTTGATGATGTGGTCGGTTTGAGTATCGGATCAAAGTTTGTGACATATTTGTCTGATAGGGGCCACATCCACTTAATCCTTTCTCTCCTCCTTCTTATATATAATGCTGCTTATTCGATTGGTTCCATGTTCTGATTGTTCTGACGGTTTGCAACGTGTAGGAGTTCTGTGACCGACCTCAACGTTCTCAGCCCAGCACTGGGTCTAAGCACAATTCTTAAACACAATCTGTAAATGTAAAACTTAATCCACTACGAATTGTATAAGGTATTGAACTGTTGCTCCTTTAATCCGTTGGACTTCAATTACTTACTATTTCATATATTTTGTGAACAATCCAAAGTCTTAGATTGATTTGAGAGCGACCAGAAACGCATCTGAGCTGCAGCTTTGGCTTCAATCTGTTTGAAGTAAATACACTTACACGTGTGACGTCAACAAAACTAGTAAACGCGAAAAAATTTAGACCGACACTTTAGATACCCTTGCTGATCCCTCGTTTGTCTGGAATCTATTATCCGTCCTCGATTTGTATCACATTTGTCTGAAAAGATTATGAACATTTCCTCAATTTATAATAGAGTTATTTTTTCGATATGTTACGGTGGAAGCTCGTATGTACAGTGCACACTGATCTCATTTTCCAGACATTTATTAGTCATATCTTCTGATAAAACAAAGACTTTTTAAGCGATCGTTTCGATTAGATCTCTTCGATTTAGTGTTTCGATCTTGGTTAGTAAAATTCACGAATAAATTTCAGCCAGTATCTTAATAAAAGAGGATTGATCCTTCGCTAGTCTTATGATTAGGAATATCTTTATTTTTTGGGGTAGGAAAACCTTCCGTCTCAGCGATTGTGTAAAATCGCTATGACCTTTTCAAGGGTATAACAAAACGCACAGCTATGAAGCATAAAAAATTGCTTTTCTCCTGTGATTGCAGCAACCCCTAGGGTCGTTTCCCCACTAAACTGCAGGACAGAGGAATCGGCGAGGGGGAGGATGGGTGGAGGTAAGTGGAGGTGCTGGTGGTGGCGATGGTAACATTTCGCTTTGGGCGGAAATACCATTGGAAACGCGGCTCTGCGTTGGGGTCAGATTGGCAACAGTTGTATAAACGATTGTGATGTTTACTTCATAATATGCCGAATGGGATGCGATGTGGAAATGTAATAGTGGAATGGGGATGTGGGGTATGTTTTTTGGGGATGCCTCCTGGAACCTGAGGGTAGTTGGCAGCAAAAGCAGTCCGAGGAGTTGCCAGAACAGACATGAACAAATCAGTGGCGTCTGCTAATACAAAACAGACAGATTTTTTATTTTTGATCGCCAAGTAGTATTTTTACTGAATTGATTATAACCCATGCCCATTTTTTTCGCTGCCATTTATTTCTCTGTTACACTTCGATTTGTTTTTTTTTTTTTTTTTGGGGCCAATAAAAGTGTAAATATTTTCTCCCATTACATATCCGTTCATTAGATATCTATTAGCACTTAAAGTATGCCCGCCGTCTATCTACATATACATATTTTTGTTCCTGGTTTTAGTTGCGAGTCCTATTAGTCGCAGAGGTCATTGCAACAGATACGCCTTTAAACAAATAAACGGAACTCCAAATGAAATTTCTTCCACTATGCATGGCAAATTTCACTGGTGCATGCCGCGGGGGAATAGTAAGGCGGAAGATGGGAAAAGGCACAAAAAACTAAACATGGTGCTTGCCCTTTCCTTTACCTTTTATTTGCTTTTTTTTCTTTTTGTCGCTTTAGAAGGATTGCATGAAAAATTTAGAATTATTTGACGGCAGGCCACACAAGGAACCAGAGGCAGACCCAGAACCAGAGCCTGTACACATAATGATGGAGGAACCGAAATGGGGGGAGCCGTATATGTGGGGCCGAGGATAGGCGACAGCCCCGAGATCTCTGACCGATGGAGGTGTGGCTGGTCCAATGCCATCAAGAGAGTGTGCTTTGAAATTGATTTGCACAAACGAGAGATTCAAGTGAAACAATCTCTTGTAGTTAAGTAGGAAATATTCCTTTGAATTTCCTAAAATATATGTAGATTCAATTTTAATAATGGACGTGTACATATGTTATTGCAGCTTATTCTTTATTACTAATGAATCAAAAATATACAAATAACATCTACTTTTTGTTTTTACCAAAAGAATAATTTGGAGTTGATACCCCTGGAGCCATGGGGTGTGTGAGGGCCTTTACAAGACTTGACTAGATTGCTTTTCCAATAGGCGCATGCGCCACCGCCAGAGTTCCGAGCTCCACGTTAGCAGCCACCCCGAAACGACTTTCATTTACTATGAATCGAGGTTTATTCACTATAATTTTATTCGTATCATTATTATAGCCAGAACGCAGAAAACAGTTTCATTCGATCGCGCTCTGTCTTTCTCTAACACACACGTTTCATGGCGGCTTTGCCTATTGCTAAAAGTGAGCGCCTAGATATCAGAGACTATAAGAGCTAGAGCAACCAAATTTGGTATCCACAATCCTGTGATATCGAACCTGCAGAAGTGTATTTCAGAAATTCGCCCCACCCCCTTCCTCCACATCCACATATCTCAGAGCCTATTAAGACTAGAGCAACACACTCCTGTTAGATCTCACTGTTACATGAGTATTTTACAATTTCGCCCTACCCCCTTCCGCCCACTAAAGACGAAAATCTGTGGCATCCACAATTTTTAAAATACGGCAAAATGAAAAACGCAAAACCATAGAAAATTACCATATCTACGAGATTGATAAAACAGAACGATGGATCAGATCGAATCATTATTATAACCAAAAGGAACAAATCAATTTGCAGTGGCTCAGTCGCTCAGACAGATTATTAGCGGCGTCTGCCGGAGGAGAGCCATACGGACTATGTATCGGGTGTAAATGTGGAGTTGCGGTTGCAGCAGCAACTCACAACGCTCCCCCTCGTTTTTGTTTCCAGTAGTGCATCCAAACACTTGTCACTAAACAAATAAACAGTAAACAAACACCCAATGTAACTCTCTTTTTTTAGATTGCATGAATCCATTGCGGATCAGAACTCTGTTTTGACAAATCAATGACTCGAAAGAAACAGCTTTAAGCCTCTTACAACACGACAATGGGCAAAAATCACACCCCTACAGCGCAGAGACGGAGCGATGCGATGCCGAAAAAAAAACACCAGCAATGGGCAGTAGCCCAGTTCTAGACGGTGATGTGTCGGACATGTCGTGGCATTCCTCACCGTACCGCCGCCCCCTTTGCTGGCCTCCCGCTGAATCCGTGACGTTTTCGCTTCATCTCTCTTCCAATCTGCATCTCCTATTCTCCTATCCCCAATCTCCAGCTCTGTTGCATTCCCTCCTGCCCAGAAAGGATTTCGAAATCAATTTGATTTTCCAGTTAGGGGAAAGGTTACTCTTTGTATTCGTGAGTGGGCGGCAGCGGAGAGAATGGGTAACAGTAGTGGAGCTGGTAGCTTTTTCTAGCAATCAATATTCAGTACTGTTTCTCGTTTCTCGTTTCTCACTTTTTGATTTCGTTTGCTTTTGTCAATTTCCACGGGCCTCCTTCTCGCCTGTATCATTTTGAATACCCTTGGACCCATAGGACTCTAATACTTTAAACAGACGATTGACGTCCATATCATGTAGAAATTTATAGCGTTATGTGAGTACTCCCCTCTTCCGTCACACTTTTTCTGTACAAAAGAGTTCCCCATCCAAAAACATCTCTACGCCGGAACTAACATCGAGATTATGAACAAACTATCTGCAAGGGTATCTTAAGATTCGCCTCGGATGCCAGTCTTTTGTTCTGCCCACAATTTTTTTGTATTTTTTATTAACTTGGCTTGCTTACTCGGTCCTTTGTTTGACTGCCTTCAATCGGATTGTTTTGTTACCCTTACCCATAGGCATGCCCCATTCCGTCGTTTGGCATCGCTGTTCAGAGTGAAATTACATTTGAATTTTACTTTTAATGACGCAGATTTCGAAATTGATTGTGAATGCATTAGGTTGGGGCTGAAGAAATAAACATTCAATTTTCGAGTTGCCTGACTAAATTTCAATACTGCACATCTTGTCATTCGCAAGCGTTGAGGATGTGTTGGGCTTGGGTTCGGGTTTGGGGCATTCCCATTGGAGCTCTGTTGCATCATTCGCTAAACAGCCTCAGCTGTTCCCGACTTCGTCCCAAGTGTGGCTTCTTCAGGCCCAACTATAGTTTGCTTCGAGGTTTCCAGAATGGCATGAAGCCGAAGAAGGGCTAGTCCATCCCAGCGACTATTAGGATCACTCCAGATGGAATGAGAGGGTGGCAAAGTGAAAGGATCACTTAAAAACGCTGTTCGCCCGAATATGGGAGTGTACCCAGGACGTGCTGGGAAAACTGGTGTATATTGTTTATGGAAAAGAACGCAGTCCCGCCGCAGCTCTGGCGAAAATGGACATGACTATTGTGATTCGCAAGATGACATCTCCCTGTCCAAGGACTGACCAAATATTTTCGACCTGTTGCGCTAGAATTACGGGCCTGTCCTGAGTTTAATATTTATAAATTTGATTGGATACTTACCGGGAAGCGGAGGAAGCGGAGAAAGCGGAGAGCAACTTTTTTACTAGATACGTATTCTTCGAAAATTTCTCCCAACAACAAA